TCGTACCGATGTAAAAACACCATTTTTGAGCGTTTCAGCTCATGGCATATCCGCATGAAAATATGCATTTGCATGTTTTGACACGCCCTATTCATTAAATATTTAAAAAAATTGTTGGCAAAATTGTTAGAATACTAAAATTTAAAAAAATTATATGGATGACTTTGGGGTATGCGAACGTGTTTAAGATACGTTTTGGTTCGTAAAATTATCAGCTGAATAAACAAATAAATTTTCTAAACAAAAATTAAATAGAAGAAAGTTGAGTGATATTAAACTTGAATGATTGGATTTAATCAATTTAGTCAACTTCAAAAATCTCCTCTCTCATCTTTCTGTGAATTAATATTTTAATAATAAAATTTTATTTAAAAAACTTAAATTTATTCAGAACAGCTAATTAAACACGCAAAATTTTAAACAAAGGAAGTATTCGAACGTATATATTAAAATTTAATACATTAGAATACAATTTTGCCAACAATTTTTTTATATTTAATAAAATACATACATATATGTACATATAAAAAATTATAAACGTATTTTGCATTAATTATTTCTAAATGTTACTAGATCTGTATCTCTTTTTGTTAAGTTAAAATACTTAAAAAATTAGAAAAAAATAGAAAAAACTAGAGTAGCACCCCGAGCCTTCGGGCTTCGGGGTTGGAAGCAGAGCTGCGTCGAAATTTCGATTTTCGACATTTTTTTCCTAAATAAATGTATAAATATGTAGTGTGTATCAGGGGTGTGCGAGTTTCGCCTTTCGTCTTTCGCCTTTCGCCGATTTTCGCCTTTTTTTGACTTTCGTCTTTCGCCTTTCGCCGTTCGCTTTTTCGGGCGAAAGGCGAAATTATTATACACCCCTAATGACGGCATGTGAGAAAAAGTTGGGAAAGGAAAAATCGGGAGAGGAAAAATTAGGAGAAGAAAAAAAAGAAAAACTGAGACGAGTGGGAATAAATACCTATATATAATTTTCTTTTGTTTGTTGGGCAAGTAATAGATGGTTGAGTGGTTACGTTGTTTGACTTCAACTAGAGATCATTTACTTATTGTTAGGTTCGAGTCCATGATTAGGGACAATGTTTTAATTCGTTTATAAATAAAATTGTTCTAATTTTTCTTTAAAAAATTTATTTTTATAATTGAAAAAGTGAATTTTCCTTGCCTTAGACACCTTATATTTTCAAAATTTTTGCCTGCGGCGCTGAAAAGGAAGAAATTTGCCTTCAAGGCTTTACAAAATTCTCAAAATTTTCGTCTGCGGCGGTGAAAAGGGTTAATACAGGTTATTTCCATCACGTAATCACCGGAAATAAAATTCCTACGACTTTAATAATATTCCTATTCGGCATCCGAATATTCCAGAATTTTGGATCAGGATCCAGGGATTTCCCAGGATTCTCATACCCTTTTTAAGACAACGAAGGGAAAAGTCTAGAGATCGGAAATTAGAAAATCAAAGTCAAATTTTTCCAGACATATCCTCTAACTTTCCTTTAAATCCCCGATATTCCTTCAACTCTTCTAATATCCTTCTTAATCCTACAGATCCCCTGATATCCCCGATTTATTGATTTAAGAAAGTTATCTGTAGATTTGGAACACTTAACAAGGCTTTTAAATTATTTTACCAAAGGATCTCTAGACTTATAGCCTAAACTGAAAAATTTCGCCTTTCGTCTTTCGCCTTTCGCCGATTTTCGCCTTTTTTGGACTTTCGTCTTTCGCCTTTCGCCGTTCGCTTTTTAAAATCACTTTCGCAATTTCGCCTTTCGTCTTTCGCTTTTTAAAATCACTTTCGGCACACCCCTGGTGTGTATGGACGGATGGAATTACGAGAGAAATTGAGTGGAAAATTTAAATGAAAAAAATAAAAATTAGAGTAAGGAAAAATAAAATTATAGTTTATGTAACTATTTCCCGCCACAGAATTAATTAAAATGGAGTTGGCATTGGCTCTGCATTTCTATGCCAATATTGTGTGTGTTTGTACCATTACTTCTATTAGCAATAAGAAAATGCTAATTATCCCATAATATTATAGATTTTAAAAAATTATTTTTATATTTCATTAAATATAAAATAAAATTGTTGGCAAAATTGTTAAAGAATACTAAAATTTAATATATTATGAGAATAATTTAGGTGTATTCGAACGTATTTAATAATCGTTTTGGGACGTAAAATTATCAGCTGAATAATCAAATAAATTTTCTAAACAAAAATCAGATAGCAGAAAGTTGACTTGAATGATTGGATTTAATCAATTTAGTTAACTTCGAAGCTTCTCTCTCATCTTTCTATGAATGAATATTTTATTCCATAAATAAAATTTTATTTAAAAAACTTAAATTAATTCAAAACAGCTAATTAAACACACAAAAAATTTAAATGAAAAGAAAAATTAATTTTTATTATCATTAATTTAAAAATGGTAATTGCCATATCGGGCATTTTACTAGCGTCATGCAGGATCCATCACTAAAAATTATTTTTTAAATTAAAGAAAAGTGGTTCTATTTTAGTTAATTTATTTGGAAATTAAGGGGGATTTGGTGAGGAGACATCCAATTAGTAAATAAAATAATTAAATTTTTATTCACAACGTTTACATGGCAATTCCTTCCGAAAATTCAAATGGAAAAATTAGAACTGATTGTGAGGAATGTGACGTTACGGCGCAGCCCAAGTGAGAGCGCTGTAAAGACGCGATCATCTTGGTATTACTGGATATTTCCAAATCATTTAATATTGGTTGGGGCATTCCCCCTCTATTTGAGGAGCATTTATTTAACTGGAGGTTTACCTTGGTTTTCTTCGGTCTCGGGTCTAAAATAGCCCCTCGACTCGATCTAGGCTTTTCCAGCCTCGGTGATCATCGCCTTGGTTTTTCAAAAAACCTCGACCTCTTGATATTGTATCTAAAAGACACAAGAAGTTTTTCTCAAAATGATAAAAACAAATTCAATTATAATACTAAAAGTGAGCTAATTGCTGATATAAAATTAGGTAGTCTTCTGATATTCCTTCAAATCCCTTGACATCCTCCTTTATCCTTGCAAATCATCTGCTATTCCCGATTTATGAGGTAAGAGGGGTTTTTTCTCAGTGATACCCTTATATCCTCAAACTTTTAATGCCCACAAATCCCCTTTAATCCCTCCAAATTCTATTATATCACCAGATATCTCCTCTGTTTCTTCCAAATCTTTTTTAATTTCCAAATAAATCTACGAAAATAGAATATCTTTTTTAATTTAAAATATTTTTCAGTGTGGAATGCAGGCATAACGCTTTTCAAAATGGCCGATGATGGCAAATAACCATTTTTAGATTAATGATAATAAAAATTAATTTTCTTTTTCATTTAAATTTTTGTGTGTTTAATTAGCTGTTTTGAATTAATTTAAGTTTTTTAAATAAAATTTTATTTATGAAATGAAATATTCATTCATAGAAAGATGAGAGAGAAGCTTGAAGATAACCAAATTGATTAAATCCAATCATTCAAGTCAACTTTCTTCTATTCAATTTTTGTTTAGAAAATTTATTTGTTTATTCAGCTGATAATTTTACAAACTTAAATGAGAGTTAAACACGTTCGCATACCCCAAAGTCATCCATATACTTTTTTTAATTTTAGTATTCTAACAATTTTGCCAACAATTTTTTTAAATATTTAATGAAATATAAATAATTAATAATATTTAATATTAATTATTTTAAAAGCTAATATAGCCGTGTTTCTTTTTTGTTAAGCTACATAAAATAAAAATTATTTTTGCCTGGAAAAAAATTTATAAACAATATTTTTTAATTAAACCGTTTATTTTAATTTGAAAAAATACCAATTTATTTTAAAAATGCAAAGAAATTTTACTAAAAAATGCAAAGTTTGTGGGGCAAAAGAAAATGTTTGTTTTCATTATGGAGTTTGTACATGTAGGGCTTGTGGGTCTTTTTTCCGGTATTTTTTATTAATTTAATTTTAAAATCATGTCTCCCATACTCCGATTTGGACAAATAATATTTCATTTGAAAAAATATGTAGCTTCCGGACTAACCTATGGGCAGTATAGATTGGTCCGGAAATCGGAGTATTGGAGATATGACGGAATTTTGCCAAAAATTTTTTTCAAAAGGCGTTATCTTGAAAACGAAAATCAATGGAAATATAGTTTATGTAAATGTTCAGAAAAAAATACAGACGAAGAATCCCAACCAAATACGGCAAAGTGTAAAAAATGTAGACTTGAAAAGTGTCTTTCTGCTGGAATGAAAAAATTGGGTTTGTCAAAATAAGGGTAAAAAACTGTCCCCTTGAACCCCCAACTGATAATTTACGTTAGCCAATCACTTATATCCGCCGTTATTCCTCCAAATTACTGATAAATTAATGACCTAATCAGTGTTAATCTAACAAATCCCCCATTAACACTTCAATTCTCCAATACTCTCTTAATCACTTCTAATCCTTTTATATTCATCATGGGGATTCAACTGAGGTATAAACAAGGGACCGGAAATACGGTATCCAATATTTAAAAATAATTTTTAATAAAAAAAAGTATTTTAGATGTTGGGTATTTACGTTTTGATATATGCCGCGAGACGGTGAAAAACCAAAAAAATGAAATTAAAGTAAATTTATTTATTTTATAAAGGAATTGGAAAGACTCAGTTACTGCAGACTAGGGTTGTTTTGAAAAGAAATCTTGGAAATTTGTAATTTAAAAAGTTAAAATTATCGAAATCGAGAGAAAAGCATACAAATATCTTTAGCAACATAAAATCTACGGAGATTTATAAAACTAATTTCAAAATTCCCCCATGCCTCCTGCATTATGTTTTATAGCCGAAAGAACAAAAACAAAACAAGAATTAAAATTCTCTCTATTTTTAAGATACCAAATTCCCCAACTGTCACCATAACCATCACAGACCAGAACTCGGTAAACTCAATTTTACCAATTATTGAAGCCAAAAAACGTATTATGCATGGATTTAATGATTTGGATGATATTTTTCTACATGGCCCGATTTTGTTTGAAGAAATAATTTCATCTAATTTTAATATTTTGAGTTTAGTTGAAATTTTTTCGGTAAATTTTAATTTAATTTTTAATGAAAATAATTTTGTTTTAAAGCCAAATCCAAGTCCAATACCTTCTGATGAATTAGAAAGTTTGGAAACTTCAATAGAAAATGAAGGAAACAATCGTTTTCACAAATATTTATTAGTTGACAGACTTTTGTGTTTTGGTATAGCTAAATCTATGCTTTTTTTTGAAAAATTGACTTTATCTGATCAAGTAATAAAATTTTGGATTTAGTCCATATTTCAGTCCTTATTTTAAAATTTTTAGTCAATATTATATGTCCATATTTTTTGATTAATAGTCCATATAAATCCGTTCCCTAACCATAAAAATATTTTTGGAGGGATTTGCCCTTTATAAGAAAAATTAATTTTTATTTTTAAATAATAGATTGCACATCTAAGGCAAATTCATCATTTGTTTAGTTCATTTACAAACACCTACCTAGCTTGGGAATTAGGTTCTGAAACTTGGACACGTAAAGATTGTGTTAAGCCTGCTCTTGGTTTTAAGAATAATAGTGAATATTCACATGATGAAAAGTAAATATTTTTCTATAATTTTACTCAAAATTTTAATTTTATAAATAAAATTCTTCACGGTTTGGCAAATTTACCGCGTTTTTATTTTGGCCATACCTCATTTCATACTCAGCAAAAATTGATAATTCAAACTTTGCTAACATTTAACAGACTAAATTATAAAATTTAAAGGTGTTTACAAGATATGGGACAGACAAACGGGGTGGAAATTTGCCGCACCCGTGTAAAATAATTTTGATAAATTTCTGATTGAAAAGATATGGAATATATTTTTAATTTTTAGGTTGCTTAAATGGGCAGATTATTCACTTACAAAATCTGTCGTTCACTTTAAACGTGTTGCATTAACAAACGTTGAATTTGCTTTGTTAATAGCTATTATTTTTACAAAACCTGGTAAAAATTTAATTTGAAATAAGGGATAATATACCGTATTTTCTAAAATAAGCCCCATGGGGCTATATTTTTCAACTATCCTCCAAATTTGGGCTATATTTTAGGGTGGGGCTCTAATTTAGCATGGGGCTCTAAATTTCAACCTATTTTTCATCTTATAGATTGCCTATTTTTTTAAATTAGTAATTAAAATTTTACAACAAATAACAAAAAAACATTGATATCGCATGCAAAAATTTAAATTATTTTTTTCCATATCATTTATTTATCTTTTACTTTCTACGCGAGTGAAGGTTTTGTCTAAAATTCTCAAAATTTCTGCCCTAAAATCACCTAATATCCAATAACCCTTTGTTCCCTCATAAAATCGTAGGAAAGTATCCTTTCAATCCTTCAACTCTTCTTTAATTCGCCAGTTACTGAGCGTATCAGGGAATCTTATCCCCCATATCCCTCGATTTTCTCCTTGATCGCACTAATATACCTCCTATCAGAAAATTACTCCCAAGATCCTCTCGGGGTAATCTTCACTACGATATCCAGTAACTTTTTTAAAAAAATCTGCTTTGATTCTTGGTCTTTTGCGTTTTGTGTTAAGGAAATTGTCTCTTGCGCTCGCCCCGTTGCCACGATATCCATTTCAATACCTGAATTTGAGTATATTGCTTTTACTCACAGAAATATCACAATATTTCTTCAAATCCCTTCACATTGCCCTCATTCAATATCTCCGATTCCAATAATAACACTTTGTTTACCGATTTGGGATAAAAGTATATTTAAAAAGTAAGGTGGGGCCATATTTTAGGGTGGGGCACTAATTTAGCATGGGGCTATATTTTAGGAAATACGGTAATATTTGAAATAAAGGTGAAGCGCCTAAACATGTCCCTCTTCAAAATTTTTTTAAATTTTTATTTAAATAAATTTTTTTCAAAAAAGATGCTGAAGGCTTGTCTCCCGAAGGAAAAGAATTACTTTATAACGAATCTGCTAAATACACAAATATTTTACTTCGATATAATCAACGAAGATTAGGTTTAATTGAAGGGGCTCAAAGATTGGATGAATGTTGTCGACTAATTTGTCGTAGTATTGAAAATGATTATACTTTAAAGTTAATTATCTCTCATCAACTTAAATATTATTCACTGGGTGTAGATTACTACTTTAAATGTCCAAACTTTTTAAAAAGAATTTTGGAAAAAACTGATTAAATATTAAATGATTTTTAAAAATGAATACTGTATAACTTCTATCAATTTCACTCTCTCGATTGATTACCTCTCTACCGAGGTATTACCATTCTTAATTATTCAATGAATATTCATTATTCAATGAATTATTCAATGAATTTAGAGTAGGTCGAGGCCACGCCAAGGCCGGGGTCCTTGCCCTTTTTCAATCCTCGACCTCGGTTTTGCTGACCTGGGTTATCGGAACCTCATCTCGGTCCACGCCAAGAATCTCGCCGAGGACCGAGGCTAAATATACACCTCTAAAGATTGGCTTTTTTTAGCAGAAATAGAGAATTTTGGTCTATTTTTCTACAAAATATTTTCAAAATTTTGCCCGCCGCGCTAGAAAAGGAAGAAATCTCGTTACTTCTTTCAAAATTTTCTAATGGAAGAAGATGGGTATATCGGAGGATTCGTATGGATTAAGACGGATTCGAATTATTTTTGAAGGGACTCCATTTATTCTCGAACCCTTGACCCGCGGCAAAAATTTGTCCCTCGACCTCGATCTCAGCTTTTCCAGCCTCTGTGATCCTGGACAACGGTTTTTTCATAAAGTCTCGACCTACTAATTAAATACATATTAAATAAATTAAATATTAATTAAATACATAATTAATTAAATACATAATTCTAATTAAATACATAATTAAATACATAATTCTAATTAAATACATAATTTAAAAATTAAATACATAATTCTAAATTAACTAAAATAAATTAAATATAAATTAAATAATTTATATTTTAATTAAATAATTAAATATTTAATTAAAATAAAATTAATATAATTAAATACATAATTATATACATAATTAAATACATAATTTAAATACATAATTCTATTTAAATTAAATACATAATTAAATACAAATTAAATACAATAAAAATTAAATAATTAAATACATAATTAAATACATAATTAAAATTAAATACATAATTAAATTATAATTAAATATTAATTAATTAAAATTAAATACAAAATTAAATACATAATTCTATTTTTCTAATTTAATTTGTAAAATAGTATATTTCCTATTTTTAACTTTTCTAAAATTTCTGTTCTCTTTTGTATTCTTAATTAAGGTTGGCGGATCCGGATTCAAAAAAGACCGGATATGCGAAATCAACGGTTCGGATATCGGATCCGGCTATCCGAAGAGTTCCACGTATCTGCCATCCCTTTTTCCTTTTTAATGTAAATTATTTAGTGGTCTGTCAGTTTTCAACATGCATTTATTTTATCTAATTTCACACCCATTTCCGACTGATTATACATATTTCTGGCTGGCTTATCTTTATTTTATCAGCTTTTTAATTTGGGAAATAAATATTAATTACTTTGTTTGTATTGGAAATGAACGACTAGGCGCCCTAGTCTTTTATTCTTACTTGATGTCTAAAAAATAAAAATTATTTTTTAATTCCTTCTTTTTTTTATGCAAGAATTTCTAATCATATAGTCCTTTTAGGAAAAAGAATCATCATATTTAAGGCTTTCAAATGATAAAAAAATTATTAGAAATGATTGAAAGCGCAAAAAATTTGTTAATCGAATGACCGTCATATCCCTCCACATTTCATGGTATCGTCCTTAATCATCATAGGTGTATTCGAACGTGTTTAATTTTAATTTGTCAGCTAAATAAACAATTATTCTAAACAAAAATTTAAATGAATATTATGATGGATATACTGGCGTTAGTTGAAGGAGAATTGGAAGAGGCTAATTATCTGAGAGAGAACGAGAGAGAAACAGATTATTTGAGCTTTTAACGTTCTGAAAACTGAAAAAGAAAAAATTTTTAATTATTTTATTGACTGATTCGGTGTCATGAGGAAATAATGTGAAGTTGAAGAAGGGAGGATGGAATGAATATTAGCTAAAATTTATTTAAACCAGTTGATTAAACACAAAAAATACCCAAATTACCGTAAAAACTGTATTAATTACCCTGGGTAATTATTGTTTCGATCTCTAGCTGGAGGGGGTAATAAAAGCAGGTGGGGTAATTATTTGAGGGAGGGCAATTTTACAGAATTCTACATATATTCCCTTAATATTTTCACATATAATGTACCCCAAAATGGTAGAATAACACCAATGCTTCCCTCCTGGGATATATAAGTTCACGATCGGCATGTATACAAGTATGTATGACTCCTATTTATGGAGTATTATTAGAGTAATTATTTGAGGGAGGGAAATTATTGTTTCGATCTCCTGCTAAAGGGGGTAATAAAAGCAGGTGGGGTAATTATTTGAGGGAGGGTAATAAATACAGTTTGTACGGTAAACGAAAATTTATATTTTTTCGCTAATCTAAAGGAGTTTTGGAAGTTATAGCTTTGACGTTAAAGCTTTTTTATAAAAAGAAAAACTAAATGGCCAAAGACTAAAATGGCCAATGATGGCAAATAACCATTTTTAGATTAATGATAATAAAAATTAATTTTCTTTTTCATTTAAATTTTTGTGTGTTTAATTAGCTGTTTTGAATTAATTTAAATTTTTTAAATAAAATTTTATTTATGGAATGAAATATTCACTCATAGAAAGATGAGAGAAAAGCTTTGAAGATAACTAAATTAATTAAATCCAATCTTTCAAGTTAACTTTCTTCTAGTTAATTTTTATTTAAAAAATTTATTTATTTATTCAGCTGATAATTTTAACGAACTAAAATTGAAATCAAATACGTCCGTATACATCAGAATCATCCACTTAGTATTTTAACTATTTTGCCAAAAATTTTTTTTAATATTTAATGAAATATAAATAATTATAATATTTAATTTTAATTATTTTAGAAGCTAATAAAGCCGTGTTTATTTTTTATTAGGCTAAAATAAAAATTATTTTTCCTGAAAAATTTTTATAAACGATATTTTTTAATTAAACCGTTTATTTCAATTTTTATAAAAATATCCTTAAAAGCCCGATAATAAGCATTTATCAACTTTATTTTAATTAGAAAAAATACCAATTAATTTAAAAATGCAAAGAAATTTTATTAAAAAATGCAAGGTTTGTGAGTCAACAGTAAATGTTGGTTTT